TCAACTCTTCCTTTCTATTCGTTGCGTCTGCGCCTTCGTCTTTCTTTCGTTTCAATTCTCCTCTTCCATTTGTTACTTCCTTTCTTTCGCATAAACTCTTATGTCCTGATCGTTCAGTTTTTCCTTCCGTTTCAACTCTTCCTTTCTATTCGTTGCGTCTGTGACTGCGTATCAACTCTTCTGCCTTGCTCGTTTAACTTTTCCTTTCCTTTCAATTCGTCCATTTCGTTGCGTCCATCCTTTTGTTTCAACTCTTCCCTCCTATTTGTTTTTTCTTTCCTTTCGTTTCAACTCTCACCTCACGTTTCACAGAAAACTTGAAAAAATGCCGTTTGCGAGAAAAGCATTTTTCTTCAAGTTTTCAAGGGTGGGGCCATTCGGGCTGGTATTTGCCGTCCAAGCAGCCACTTGCAGCCACTTGCGGCCACTTGCGGCCACTTGCGGCCACTTGCGGCCACTTGCGGCCACTTGCGGCCACTCGAGTGGCTGAAAGTGGCTGCAAGTGGCTGCAAATAATGCAAATGGCTGCAAGTGACGCTGCTCTGGAAATTTCAAATCCTACCAATAAAGCAACCGGCCACGTGCAGCCACGTGCGGCCACGTGCGGCCACGTGCGGCCACTTGCGGCCACTTGCGGCCACTTGCGGCCACTTGCGGCCACTTGCCCTAGCGGCCAGTTGCAGCCACTTGCGGCCACTCGAGTGGCTGCAAGTGGCTGTAAGTGGCTGCTTTTTTGATTTCAAATACCGCGCGTTTTGCGACCTCAATGAAACGTTGTTTCCACTCACCAAAGAAGCTGCCCAAGAGCTCAAGATGCCACACATAAATCTCAAGAAGAAGATCAGTAAGTCCACTTCCGGCTCCATGGAAAACTCGCCCTCTGAAGTCTGGATGGCTGCAACTCGCCCTTTGAAAAAGGAGAAGGACAACGTGGCTGATTTGAAAGAATCCCGCATGACAGTTGAAGACCGCCTCACCTTCATGACTGCAAAGAAGGCCGAGCTGCAATCAGTTTTTGAGAATGGAGTTTGGCAACTTGAACTTGACCCTGAGAAAGCATCAGAAAGCCGCATTTTGAAAGCACGTTTTGTTCTCGGCAGATGATGGCAAAGGTGGCACAAAAGCCAAAGCTAGACTTGTGCTGCAGGGATACTCCGATCCCGACCTGCTGTCTGGTAGCCTTGAGACAAGCTCTCCAACTCTGAACAGAACGTCAAGACAAGTGCTGCTGTCCGTTGGTGTCTTAGTGCCGATGTGGCTACAGCCTTTCTGCAGGGAGACAATCAATCCCGCGAACTTTGGTGCAAACTCCCTAGAGATGCCTGCGCTCTCCTGAACACCAAGCCCATCTCCTTGATGCGCCTCTTAAAGCCCATCTATGGCCAGGCAGATGCTCCAGGAGCCTGGCACCAAGTCGCCCGAAGACGACTGGAGGAACTTGGGTTCACCCAGCACAAGCTGGATGGCTGCTTGTTCAGACTGCATGATGCTGAAGGATGTTTATGTTGTTTGGTTAGATTACACGTAGATGACATGCTGATTAGTGGCAACCCTCAAAGTGATTGCTACAACACAGCCAAGAAGTTGCTGCGTTAAAAGTTCAATTTCAAACACTGGACTCACATCGACGAACGTGAGAAGCTTGATTTTTGTGGATGTTCATTTGTGAAAACCTCCTAAGGATATCAACTTGGACAGCCTGACTACTTCAGCAAGGTCAAGCCCATCACCATCGGCCCGAAGCGTCGAGACTCTGCAATGGCCACACAGAATGAGGCTAGTGCTCTCCGAGCGGTGCTTGGTGCACTTCAATGGCCCAGCACTCAAACTGCACCTCAGCTTGGTCCAACAGTTTCTCTCCTCAGTGGTCAGACCACAGCTGCTACAACAGAAGACTTGCGTGATGCAAACAAGGCCTTGAAATTTTCCAAAGTGAACAATGACGTTGGACTCCAATTTCGTCCTCTAGGTCAAATTTCAGATATGGTTTTGGTTGCAATGAGCGATGCCTCTTGGGGAATTCGACGTGAAGGCCACAGCCAAGGTGGTTACCTTCTCATTCTTGCTCCAAAAGAAACCCTGGATGGTGAAACCACCAACTACATCATTTTGGATTGGAGAAGTTTTCGTTTGCCCAGGGTGTCCCGAAGCTCTTTGAACGCTGAATCTCAAGCATGCGCAGCTGCAATGGATAGTTTGGAATACACCCGAACACTGACCCAAGGATGTCTCAATGCTGACTACACTCTACACTCTGCAGTCTCCTGGTGAATGGGTGATCAGCAAAACAGCTTTAGTGGTTGATGCAAAAGCCCTGTACGATTCAATTCGTGCAGAAGTTTCCCAGCTTTCAGGTGACAAGCGAACCAAGATTGAGGTGATGATTGTGAAAGAAAAGATGCAGGAGTGCCAAACACTTTTGCGATGGGTTTCAAGTGAAGCACAGTATGCTGATGGCATGACCAAACCCTCAGCACGTCAGTTCCTCACTGGCCGCCTTCGAACCCACATGTTCAAATTGCAAGCAGATGAAGATTTCGTTGCCGCAAAGAAGAAAACTCAACAGCAACGAGAAGCAAATGCCCGCAAGTTTGCCCTCTCAAAAGCTGCTAGCAAGGTAGGTGGTTTAGCCCATTTGATCTTCATCTCCCACATTATGCCTGTGACAGGTTCCTTCGTTTCCGATGATGCCTCATGGTCCGATGATGCGATGCGACTCCTGGTGACTATGGTGATGTCTTTCCTCACTGGATGTTTTTGCGTTTGGATGCTGCTTGGTTTTCCAAAAGTTCTCCAACATGCAGAACCAAAGCGCCTGGCTCCACGCCGTGCAATGCGCAACAGCAGTGTGCAATGCGAGATGGAGTATGAGGAGTTGTCCCACATGTCCTATCAGCTTCACATCGAGAAGGAAGACAAAGCAAGACTGGAAGATAGCTTCAAAAGAGAAATCGAAACGCTAGAACGCTATGCACATGTGATGTAAGATACAAGCGAAACAAACAAAGAGGATGCTGAAAAGTTCTTAAGTGAACTCAAAGCTCTGAAACCACGACTGCAAGATGTTGAACTCTCATTGACCGCAAAGATTCAGGAAGTGATTGAACTGGAGGGCCAGATCTACCAGGTTCAAGATACACTGGATCGAGCAAATCAAGCCAATGCCAACATGCACGAGTTCCAGCACTTTGAGCTGGAATTTCGAAAAGAGGTCTACGCCCCCAACAAGGCAACGCGCTTCCACCTCTACGACGACTGCGAGGTCCTCATGCGTGCTCGCCCAGTGACCATGCATGTCTGCAAGGAATGTGAAGACCGTAGTGAGCGCGAAAATGCCGAGATGGACAACTATCAGCACGGTTGGCGCTGAGTGGACTGGAATAATTCCCACTCAGAATGGATGGACTGGAACTTCTCCCATCCAAGCCGATTGGATGGACTGGAACCTTTTCCATCCTACAATTTACAACAGTTTGCAAAATATAGTTTTACATATGTCCGGCAGACTGGAATTTTCCTGCCGATGAATGCAATGCAATCTTCCATGTGCAACAGCTGACTGAAACTTTTCGTGCCGACAACTACTGGCAGAATAATTTTTTACAGCTGGAACAATGAAGCAATGGTTGCAAGCTTCAGTGCTTGTTTTTGACCAACTCTTTTCCTCCAATGTGAATTTGACGCCGTCAACTTGATTTGGATGACATGCACAAATCGAGAAGCCCCTTGCCAGGTTGACACCTACATGCTGCCCTACGCTGCCATTGGATCAACTTGGCCAATGGGCCCTTGAGCATTCCCCCGGAAAATGGTTTGTGGGACTTTGGGTGCCTGCGCACGTGTTTCCCGCGAAAGGACATCCAACTTAGAGTGTGGTTTGTCTGTTGGTTTGGTGTTTACACTGAACTCTTCATAGGTACTGTATTGAAAGCAGGGTGATTTGAAGGGTGATACCTGAGGGATGAAAGCAACTAGAAGCGCATTGAATGTAAATACATGCGTTGACGAGGTTTTGCGGCATCAATATCATACTGCATATATGCATATTATCATATACATACATTTATATACATACATTTATATACATACATCTATATACATACATCTATATACATACATCTATATACATACATCTATATACATACATCTATATACATACATCTATATACATACATCTAAATACATACATACATACATACATACATTAATTACATACATACATACATACATACATACATACATACATTACATACATACATACATACATCCATGCATACATACATACATACACATACATACACACATACACACATACATACATACATACATACCTACATACATACATACCTACATACCTACATACCTACATACCTACATAGCCATACATGTACCATACATACACTACATACCATATACACTACATACAGACACCATACATACCTACATACACACATACACACACACAGACATACATATACAGACACACATACATACAGGAAGACAGACATATACATACAGACACAGACACATACATATCATTACATACATACATACAGTACATACATACATACATACATACATACATACATACATACATACATACATACATACATACATTACATTACATACATACATACATACATACATACATACATGCAGACATACATGCAGACATACATACATACACACATACATACATACATACATACATACATACATATATACATGTGTGTGATGTTCACTGTTTTGATTTTTTTTATATCATACTTGATCTGCACAGGTATACACAGATATCTACTTGTAATTTTGTGTATGTGTGTGTGTACGTACAGTGTATCAACATGCATCAACATACATAGCGCTAGCCTTGCGCAAAATATATGATATGTGGCATGATACTGATAATACATTATGGGTTTGGCCATACGAGCACTATGGATTACCATTCTTTGATACAGATAGTGCGGATTGCCCTCGAAGATCCAAGACTTCCGAGGAAC